AATACATTTAGTACTCTCTCTTTATTTTTATTTTTTTTTTCCCTTCTTCTTCTTCTGTCAACCCACTGTTGAAACTTAAACCTGCTTTTCTGCAGTTATGGTATTAGTATATCATATAATTTTTATTTATTTCATTATGTATTTAAGAATAATTGCACAAAACAAACAGTGTTCTATAATTATTATAGCAAAGTTTTAATTTACCCAAAAAATAATTTCATTAGCTGTGTTATCTCAACTCAGTGATAGCAACTTTCAATCTGTAGGCAAAATAATTAAAAAAAAGTATCTGCTTAGCCCGATGACTACCGGTACTAACTTTCTTAGTAGGCAATGCATGTGTACATTTGTGAATTGAAAAAATGATAGAGAACTTATCTTTTAATGGATTTCTGATTTTATTTTTATAAGTAGTAGCATAACATTCAATTATTTGTACAAAATTGTATTCTTTAATGAAGTTTAAAGAGGAATTTAATAAAAAAATTCCTAAAATACGTTTTTAGACTGTACACTGAGTTTTAAACCATTTGCAAAATATCAGAATAAGCTTTTTATATATTAGTTAGACTGTTTTAATTCTAAAGCAATAACAATAGAAGTGTGGGTCTTACTACAAAGTAAAGATTGTAAGAAGGAAAAATATAAAATTCTTATGTGGTACTGGTACTAGTAGTATTACCTACAAATCACACAAGTCTATCATTCAAAATAATGAATCATATTATTATTATTATTATGAACTAAATATAAAATTATGCTAAATTATTTAACTTAAAACTACAAATTTAAATGCAAAAGAATATAAAAATCACAAACTCTTTCAGATCAAAGTGCTAAGCCTAATTCATGTAAAGACCTTGCACTTGCCACTCTATAGCTCTTAACCCTAACAATCGTGGGTCAACTTCTTTCCTTAAAAATATATCTAGTTTGAGTTAATTTTTCAATAAAATGATTAATATAAATAGATATACGATGCAGCATGACTTAAGCTACTATAGAAAAATAATAAAAGTCACATACATCCCATGCAGTTTTCTCCAGAAGCAAGTTTTCTAATGCTTATAGAAAAGTACTATTGGCCAATACTAAGTACAGCCTCAACATAAAAATGGCAGTTACTATAATAAGCACCACCCACATTCATATTGTAAAATACAGAGAAAAACGTTTCCTCACATGCTTTGTTTATCATCCTATGATTTTTCAAACATGAAATACAGCGATTGGAATAACATGGTACTGAAATTGACACCTTCAACTAGGATTGGCTAAAAGTTTTATAACTGAGGTTTAACATGGCCAGACGCTGTTTTATAAAGAAAACAGACTAGGAAAAGGTTTAGATACCAATCATAGATGGCAGGACCATTGCTGAAGTGGAAGGAAAAATTAAAAAAAATTTTTTTCTTAGAGGGCGCTTACTTACAGTCTCAAACGTAGTTTAGGATTTTTTTCATTAAATTCGTCTTTAAACTTCATTAAAAAATACAATTTTGTACAAATAATTGAATGTTATGCCATTATATCCAAAAATAAAATCTGAAATCCAATAAAAGATAAGTTCTCTATAGTTTTTCAATTCACAAATGTGATTTTGCCTTCAAGATAAGACAAATGGCCTCGGCAGGTAACAGGTTAAACCACTTAGTGAATGTGTAACTCATGTTACCCTATCTAATTATGTAACTCACAGGCTACTCGCAAGCTTACCCCATAAAAGATTATTTTTGTTTATTTTATCTAATCTAATTTCTCAAGTTATAATGTTTATATTTTTGTTAGTTTTATAATAATAAATAAAAAATACACACATGAAAAACAAGAAATATAGTACTTACTTGGGTCTTCTCTTTTTTTGCTATTGATTGCTGATGAATTTTAAGCCTACTTTTTTATGCTAATGGTATTACCACAATAAATATTTTTTTAGTTAATTAAATAATGCACCAAAAAACACAGAATAATAACATGTAAAAAGCAGACAATGTCTTATAACTATCATAATTTTTCTGGCTTATTAACTACTAACAGAAATGCCACCCCATGGGCAGTTGTTTGTGTTAGTAGTTACTAATTGTAGTATTCATACTAATCAAGAAAATTTAGAAAAAGTAAACATTTTTATAAAAAAATGATTTTTTTTCTAGGAAGTACTGCATGGGAAAAGTGGTTGGATTGTTCTTTTCAGTCATATGCAGCTCATTGCATCAAAATGATTCAATGTACAGAGCTCATAATTTTCATAAGTTTTACTGATGTAAACTGTAATGTTTTTATATATTAAAAGTGCTAATGTTTATTGAAAAAGTAATAGTTTTAAGAACTTTAGTTTCTCAATAAAGATGTAATCAAACCTTCACTTATAGTTATAGTGAAATTTGTGTTCTTCTTGTGAGGAGAGTACTTTTATTTAAAATGTGTTTTGTTATAAAGAAATGGTTGTTGCACATACCACAGCTATTTTTCTAATTGTCTGAATCTTGAATACCCAATGTGTGAAATTTTTTATGGATTTTTATTTGTGGTGCCATTCAATAGATGTGCAGAAGTTTTGGTTACATACGCAGAGATACACATTACATCCATTATAGTAAGATGAGATACATGTTAAAAATTCAGCAAATATCCTTGATGTGTTTTATGTAGAAATAAAGTTTGAAATGGAAAGGAGATAGACAATTTTCTTTACAGAAAATAATGTAATATAGTATGTCATTTGATAAATTAAAAACTCTGGCTTTTATTGATTATAAATTATATATTATTAAACATGTGAGAGAACTATTGGCAATTTACGAGAGAGATGATGTAACAGGTGGGCATGGCAAGAGGGGTCTGATATTCTTGTTTATGGTTCTGTAACAAAAACAAAATTGAAGGCTATAAAAATTATGCTTTGCCTTAGTAATAACAATATTGTAATGAGTAATTTATATTAAATTCCCAATTTTTGGAGGAGTGATAAATAAACTGTAGAAGAGGGAAGACCTTGAGAGCATGTGTCACAATTTTCATACGAGAGAAGCTTGAGGATGTTTTAAAGGATTTCTGTATAAAATTAAGAACTTAAAATTTATATAATATATAAATTTGATTTATTAACTATGTTTTGATGCCAAGTTTATTTGTATACATTAATAATAAAGTACTTTAACACTTTCAACCCGGGCTCGGTGCCTGGGACCGACTTTGTAACCATTTTGTGCTTGTTAGATTTTTCATGCTACAAGTTTTAAATTAGTAAGCAAATCTAATGATATTTGGTAGATTATTAGTAAACATTAAAATGTTTTCATATGCAAAATATCTAATTTTTTTATTAAGTATCAAGGTTTGTAAAGCAATGTTTCTCTCATGCCCTTTTTCTTTTCACATCTTGCCTATCTAACATGCAAAGTAATTTTCATTTTTTGATTAAAAAGACTTTTATGCATCAGAAAATTTTGAAATTTCACGTGTGAAATCTTTATGATGTCCGGATAGTTATCAAACATTTATGAAGAAAAACTTTTTATTTTATCTGTTATTTTCAGTAATTAATCTCTATGGGTTCAGTAAATTTGACTGATCTCACAACCACCATACAAAATTAGGAAATAAACATAAATTATGCATTTTTCATTTTAGAATGAATACAACTTATAACATGAAAACATAAATGTTTAGATGAAATAGCTTAAAATTCATATTATTAGACATTTATATATATTTATTATTTTTATTTTATTGACCTTTCACCCGTGCCTGGCTAACAATACAGAAGTTACAACAATACGGCTCACATGCACTCATGTTACCATATCAAATAACATAAAGGTGACCTTTGGTCTGTACAAAGTAACTTGACCTGGCTCTGTTTTAATTGACTAGTATTTTATGAAATACAGTCACATTTCAATTATTATACATTATATATGTATATAGATTATTGCTATTTTGAAATAAGTTCTTAATTTTTTTTTCCCTAAAACATAGAACAGTAAATAAAGAAGTAAAGCAAATAATTATCTTTTATAGTTATGACCTTTGTACTCGGTTGCTGCTTTATGTAGGTTGCTAAGCCTTTAAAAATTTTGCACATGGGAGTTATGAAACAACATTTTTTTTTAGGTTTTATATATGATTTTGAATAACTAAAAAATCTTAAATTACTACATCAGTAGCATAGAATTCTACAATAATTTATCAAACTTAGTAACTTAGCTGTATTTGGCTCTAAAAAAATATGAAATATCGAACAGACTAAAGACACATCCTACCTCATGAAAATCTTGTTTCAAAAGAAAGAAATGGTGCTAGGTGCATTAGAAAGGCTGAGAAAACCACTAGGGGATATTCTGAGCTTCCGATTGGTTATTCATGTCATATATACAGTGTATACAAGGGAGCGTTTCCAAAAATGGAAAGAGGTGTTCAGGGTGCCACTATGTTTGATTTATTACTTCAGCAATATCTTAGCAAATAGAAAAGATAAAAGACCTTCTTATTTTATACTCTAGCTTGTCAATATCTTTAATTTGAGTTTCTAATTCATATGAAACTATAGACTTAGTATTTTGACTTCACCAGCATCTAATTTGAACCAGTGCTGCATTCAACGTACCACGTGACACACAAAAATTGATGTTTATCTGTGTTTTTTTTTAATAGTTACTTTTAAATTAGTAAATTGAGTAATGTATAGTTCTAAAACTTGAATTATAATCTACAGCTTGATACCAAACTTATTGACATAAATTCATGGAATAGTAGTTCAATAAAATTTTGAATGTGAGTGAACAAACGAGATGACATGGCCTTACGCATCTGATCCGTCTCGAAACAGTTAATTAAATTTTGAATGTAACTTTGTAAAAGGTTGTAACGTGTGCACCTTGACCCACCCAATGCATAAATATTAATGATTTAAGAGTATAATTGTATTGCATTTGTGCATTTATGTTTTTAGTTATTATTTGCTTATATATATATATATATATATATTTCTCTTGTAGTTGTCAGGAAGTTCATGAAGACACTTTTCATTTACCCGCTAATAAAATAAAAAAAGGACTGTGTGATGGGGTAAAGTTGGATGTTTACATCCCTGGGTTTCCAACATTTAGACATATTGAACATAAGGTAAGTAAGAGGACTGTGCTCATTTTCACCTCCTGTCAGAACAGGTGTTTTTGGGTGGGTTTATTTTGTACCTTCTGTCTTAGCTGTAATATTAAGAGAAACATAGCAATTAATCTTTATAAGTCAACTTTTGAACATGTGCCAGAATTCATACAATGTTTGGTGATACTTCTGAAGCTATTATAGGGTATTATATATAGTTCTAAATAACTAAGACAAAACAAATAGCAACAAAGGAGAGAAATGAAACTTCAAAGTTAGTTGGGGTAAAAACTACATAGTGTGAATTACAGAAAAAATCTTGTTTGGAGAGGTGTCTGCAGAACTAGGATTTATACATAGTATGCTTATGACCAATTTCATTTCAGATTCAATCAGTGAATCTATAGGTCATATTTATTTCTTACATTCTCCTATTTTTCACAATTGTTCTTATTTTTTATATTTCAAGATAAGAACATTTTGATATGGGGGAAAGAGAACTCTTTTACTGTGCCAGAATACATTAGCAGACTTTTAGTTTTATAAATTAATATATATGAATAGTTAAATAGTTTTTGTAACTTACTTTGTTATTATTTTTTCTATACTAACAGTTTTGTTGTGATGATTTTGAGATTTTCTATTGTGATTAAACAGTATACCAAGTTGAAAAAATTCATCATACTTAATAATAAAACAGAAGTAATTGTTAAAAAATATTAAAAAATCTACTATTTGAACAATAGTATTCAAATTGTAGATATTTATAAGTCCTCTGTTGCCTTTTTTTTTGTAGTTGTTGGTTGAGTATTTGAAACATATTTGCATTTTAGTTTGAAACATCCAAGATGTATTTTTACATTAACAATAAAAACTAAATGGGTGGAACCGGCATAGCCATATGGGTGGGTAGAAGCCAACATTGTAAGAATATCTTTGTTGATTGTAGTATTATTTATTTTCTGTATTCTATCATTTTTTTTAAATGTTTTAAAATTCATGTTTGAAAGGTTTAATAATTTTTTTAATATAACCAAAACTTTAACTCACTCCATGAAGCTTACAATACTAAGTGAAAGCAAAAATATTTTGCCAGAGGCTAAAGTATCTCTGTTGATGATACTGTTATATCTTGTGGGCACCCATTGATGTGTATTGAGATGAATAATCAACAGCAAAGGAAAAGAAAATAAAATATTAAAAATATTACAAGTAAAGATATGAAGTTTTGCATATAATCCAAAGAAGATATTTTGAGAATATTTGACAAAAAGTTAAAAGGTATGCATATATTTACATTTCTTAATTTTAGACATTTCATTACACTTTACATTGATGATAATAGCTACAGTTAGTGATATGGAGAAAATAAAATATAAACAGACCTTTCATTACTGGCAGATCAGTCACAGTTACAACAAAATATCCTGAAAGGGTTTGTAAAGAACAGTGTTCTGGAGATAGCAGATACTGTACAAATGTTTACATAGATAAATTGTGGAGATGTATCAGTTCATGTGAGTCACAGTGAAATTGACATTGGTTTTATGGATGAACTGGAAGTGAAAACACTTTTTGCTATATAAAAGTTCAGTATGTGTGCTGTGCCTAAATTCGAGTTGCAAAGAAAGGAACTTACAGTACAATTAGTTACTCTACTTTTAGAAAGGTTGCTGGTGAGATATTCTCTGATGAGACACCTGTCTTGTCTAGGCCCATTGATGTTTCATTCTGGCATAGTTCTTCTTTGAAAAGTTCTCAGTATTTTAAGTAAAGCTCTATAGATGCAGGTGCAAGACTGTGATGATATTTTGGAGCAATTTGATGAAATTACTGATATAGTTGTAGCAAACAGTAACATCCGTGAATTTTAGCCCAAAGAAAACAGGTTGTATCACAGCTTGTCCAGTGTAGACTAGGTTCAAAAAGTTGTGGAAAGTCATTTGCTCCTTGTTGCTACTATTACATGACCAAAGCAGCTGTGGAAAGAGGATTTTCCATCAATGATAGTTCAGAGGTCAACTTGTCAGAACATAAGCTCATAGCCAGATGACTTCTCAGAGGTAACATAGAGTCAGAACTTAAAAATATGTCCAAGTAGCACAACTAATGCTAATTGCTGCTGGTGGTTCCAGACAGAAATACTGTGATTACTTAAATGAAAAAAAAAGCTAAAGCAAGTCCGAAAAGGCCACTAAAAATAATGACAGAAGAAGTGTAGAGGTTTCAAAGTTAGATTTTAAATCTAACACTGGGATGGTGGGAGGTGTTACTGTGTACTTAAGGCTTTCATTTAGGGCTTTGGTTTGAGATTCACTGAGTTCAAAGTTCATATGGTTGATGATATTGTTCTTTTCAGCATCAGGTTTTGTTTTTGTATTGTACAGACAGATAAATATCATGTAATAGTTAAGCCTTGAAAGTAGGAGCTTTCTTTTGTGTATTAATGATGAAAGTAAGCTGTAATCTCTAGGGGTAGTTAAATGTGTAAGGTTGCTACAGAGGTTAAGTTAATTTTTGTGGAGAAATTTCTATTATTTTTATTTTTTCTATATACTTTGTTTTAAAAGTTTGATTTGTGCTCTAACTATTATACTTTTGATTTTTATGCTAAACGGGAGGCTCAGTTTTATTTTTAGGAAGGTTGGTGTCAACTTTTCTTTTTTTTCATGTCTTTAGAAAGTTTAAACTTGAAATTTCATTCTCAAATTTAAGTTGGTTTCTTGTAATAAAATAAGTCTCTTCTTTCCTATCTCTCCATAGCATAAAATTCAAATTACATAAACTGGTTTTCTAATCATGTAATCCAATGTAATCCTAAATTTAGCATACACTATATGCACTGCAGAAAACAATGACAAAGAAGATCAGAGAAGCCTTATTAATAATATCAAACAATTCTACAAATAACAAATACCCAGGCATCTCTAAATGTCTTTGATCATTATTTCCCATACATTTCTAATTTTATATAAATATTTTGCGCATTTCTACATTTTCATATTCATTCACTTTTTGTTTGTTTTCTGTTCAGCCATGAATAATCTGTCTATTTATGTGGATTGATATGCACATGCATAAGTGACTACCATAAAATTCTAAAGTTTAAATACATTGTTCGATTGTTGAATGTTGACTTAAATACTCGAACCTTCTTTACTGTTAAAACTTGTGTACTTGAAAATGATTTCATCAGTGATTGAAATGTACCTGTTTTAAAAATATTCTTCCTCACTGTAAAAGATGTAACTTGTAATGAAATAATACCTTATAATTAGTAAGTAAACTCAAAATGAAACTATTAATTTTATTTTTTGGTTTAAAACCATATCTGAAATTTTAAATTGTACTAATTATTTTGCATTTATATCAACACGGTGCTACTAGTATTACTAAAGATTTTTAAAAATTTGCACCACTTGTCTCATCTTTTTAGAATTACCATATTTCTAAACTGTATAGCAATCCAAGTGAATTCATATTTAGTATAAGTTCAAGGAAAACTGTAATAAAACAGCCAACTGTTCTGTTAAACAAAATATATGACCTATTGATATAGGCTGGTTGTGTCATAGTGGTTACCGTGCTTGACAGATCAGAAGATCAAAGGTTCTGCATTGCTGAATGTGCTTCACATTTTCAACTGTTGGGACATGATAACTGTGACAGTCAATCCTGGCATTTGTTTAAGAGTACCTATGTAAATGGCACGTGCTGTTGATTGGTTGCACTATGATCAACAGTTCTAAATTAGGGATGGCTTTGCCTGGACTGTGAGTTTGTAATCTAATCATGTTCTCCATGTGTCACACAATACTGTTCATATTCAGATATAAAATACCAAAGGTGCATTAACAACTAAGATTACATATATATGTATATATTCTAATCTTTTTTTAGGTTACACTAAGAAATGAAAAAGTGAAAGTTTTCCATATGGTCAGTAGAAATGACAATATGATTGTGTCAATTAATAAAGACATTTCCCAGGTAAGTCTCATTTTTAACCAGTAGTTAAACTTCCGTGACAAAGATGTGAAAGTTTAGAATAAAGGAAATAAGAACTTGATATATCTTTGAACAGTATTTACAGTTTTAATTGTTAAAAGTTTAAATTTTTAATGGTCATTTTACTGAAAAGTAATATTTCAACAGTTTTTAATAGTGTGATATAATGGTTTAAAAATGAATTAGAGTATAACTTTTTTCAATCTCTTCATAACATTAAAAAGTGAATAGGAAAATCTGAATTTTTGTAACATCAATTTGTGGTTCTGTACTCAGCCACTTTAAATTATATTTGAAGGTTTGTTTACTAGCTAGGAATTCAGAGATGCTCTAAACATTCAAAGGTATATCAGGCAGCCTTGAAAAGGAGTGTTTTTATTCTCTTGTTAACATAAACCATTTGACAGTGTTTGAATAATAATCAGATATTAAACGTCACTCACGTAGAAAATTCTTTTAATTTGTATAATGTCCATTACTTTAACAAAAGTTGTATTAAAAGATAAAACAAAAATACACATGTACACACACCACCAAAATGTTATACATACCATCTCCTTCCATTCATTGAAGTAGACCATTATAGTGGAGCACCGGAATGTATGGTTAGCAGCTACATTGTTTCAATAAAATGTACTAAATGCCTAGTGTATGAGATGTAAGAAGAGTGATATGATAGAATATGTATGAAACATGATGCATAAACTAACACAAATACACTTAATGTTGAAAAAGGAGCACTGGTGTAACTACACTTCAAACCCTCTCTAAAGCATTTACTTAATTAATCAACAATGTTGTTTAAAAATGGTACTGATAATAACTCTCTCTCTCTCTCTCTTGTAAAACTTTTTGTTATAGATGAAGGTCTGGATTTATTTTCTAGTCAAACTGTTAATGTTACTCTGTTCTATTTTCTGCTTATTTATTATTGTGTTTATTAGGTATATTTAATTAATGAACAATTTTATGTTAAAAAGACAGTGGTTGTTAGCCTGCTACAGATAGTGACTGTTAAATAAACATTTGTTTTGCTAAAGATGTTTACATGAATAATGTACATTTTTTATTTAAAATATATATGAATGTGATTAATACTCTATGTAATGTATTTTTTAAACTACATGTGAATGCTATAATTCATTTATATGTATGACCTGTAAAATAAAAGGGTTTTGAGTTAAATATAATAGTAGTTATTATGAAGCTTTTCTACAGAAACTACCCTTCATTACAGCTCTAATATTTTGTGATGTTGATTAGATGTATTATTTACTGGGTATTATTTTATTCTATTAAAATATTAGAAACACGCATAAATGATAATTTGTGTATCTAGGTCTGAGTATTTGATACAGTTGTTGAGCATTATTATGAGAAGGTTATGTTTAATACATTGTTCTGTATATGGAATGCATATATAAATCTAAAAAAAAAGATTTCCATGAAGTGTGTAGTAGAACTTATATTTTTATTATTTTTAAGAGTTTGGAAGAAGTGGCAGCTGAATTTTGTGGCCAGTGTGTCTATGTGTCCTGGCCACATTTAGAGGAAGCTAAAGTGCTGTCAATTTCTGATGGTCAGTTTAGGTTTGTATATGTTTTAGCATTGTTGAAGGTAGTTTCTAAATTTTTCATTTTAATTAAACTCATAAGCTGAATTTACTGGGTTTTTTTTACACTATTGTAATATTTCTGATGGCATTTTTATATGATTATTTCTCAGGAGAATTATGTGACCTACAAGAAAAATCATTACATTATAGTAAAAAACAAAATATCGCTAGCATAATAGAAAAGACTACAAAAACTTGAAACAATGGTATGATAAAAAATATGCATTTGAACTAAAAAATTCGTTGTTGAAATATTTGCATGTTTTGTAAAATATTTTGTAATTTTATCTGAATCAAATACAGTAGTATGCAAATTTATCACAACACCCCATTCTTCCTGTAGTTTTGATTTATTGTGGCTATGAAATAAAACCATTTTTGTTTAACATGTTGATAAAAACATCAAAATAAGTAATTTATTAATTTTCTCACTGTATCCATGACATTAATGTGCTAAAAAATCTAATTAATTTAAAATTGCACAGCCTATGTATTGAACCATTACTTAACTTTGTAGTAATGACTTGTATACTAGGGGAAGGGGTGGTCATCCCGAATTGTACTTAATAACAATATGCTAGCTCTTGTAAAATCCTCATCTTTTAAAGTTGTGATCACAGTTTAGTATGTTAATGTTAGTCCAATATATGGAATGATTGATTAGAGCTAGCATGATCAGCGATGATTGAATTAAATTTATTAGCATTCTTTACAGCATCCTTATGTTCATTAATATGAGTTTTTAACTCGTCTCACCTGCATAACACTTGTTACAGTCTTCACATCTAATTTGATAAATGTCCAAATTTCTCATATGATAGCCTTGTTTTCTTGGTGTACCAAAATTTTTCAAATGATATTTTTTGGTTTAGATAACGTTGATATTGTAAGATTGAAAATTCTAGACAATTATTATATGACTTTCATAGTTGAATTTTCAGTTGTTTTTGAAGGCTCTTTTCATAAACCAGTTCAAAGTGTGTATGTCATTACTTTTTAGTCTTACATTCAAAATTTAATTAACAACTTTACTCTTAATGTATGTCAATAAACATAGCAGTAAAACATTGTTAATAATTCAAATATTATATTTTCTAAGTTTTAATTTCTAAATTACAAAAAAATGAATACTTAAAAAAGTCTTAATCTTCATTTTCTGTGTCACGTGATGCATCTGTGCTCCAAGTTCTTCATTTCAGAATTTTCTACTTTAAAATAGAATGCTGCAGTTTCCAACCAATTAAACATTTAAAATTGTAAGAGAAATAAAACAAATAGCCACAAATGATAAAGTGCGTTATATATTTAATCTAAATATGAAACTGTGAAACATTGTAATTTAATTAAACAAATTTTATTATCAGTGTATGTCAAGCAAATGATTTAGAGCCCAGATGCATCATGTGACACAGAAAATTGAAGTCTAACTCTTTTAAATATTTCTTTTTTGTAATTAAGAAGTAAAAACTTAGATAATACAAAATTTTGAATTATTAGATATGTCATTGTGATAATAGTTACAAGCAACAATCTAAACTTTTAACCTTCTATCTTCTTTATTTGCTGAGGTATCAATAACTTTGTTAAAATCACTAGAAAATCCCCTCCCTTTTCACTCTCTTACTTTTGAGGTTCTTTTCTAATCAACTTTACATGACTGATGAACATGCTTGTAACCAATAGAAAAAGAAGATTGAAGATTCTCCTTTTATCATATCTACAACTGTTGTGTCTTGTTGTGTTAACATGGTTTTACTGCTATGAATGGCCAATGAAATTTTTTCAATCTATTTGTAGCTTACTTAGAAAGTTTGTTAAATTATAGTTGTTTTGGGACATTTTATTCTGGTGCCTAATTTATAATTTTTATTCTAAAATGCACAGTTGAAAGCTACATAAACTTTTTCTTTGACATTTGTGAGACCCAACAAATTTTTATTTAAAGTACAAACATCTCAAATGTGCAGTTAGTACTAGAAATCTTTGTGTTTTATTTATTCGTTGTTATATGTTTTTAAGGAAAGTCACTACAGTGTAAAAATTATAAGCTTTTCAGTCTATCCTAACAAAACTTCAGTAAAAGAAAACGTAAATAAAGGTGAACAGTTGAAAGTGTTAAGACAAGTAACTTGGAACTTTCTGATAAATAAAAAATATGGTTAGTAAAGAGGAAAAAGTGGTATTATTCATCTTATTTCACATTTTCCAATTTTTCATTTCACTGTAAGCCATGGCCAGGTGGTTATGGAGCTCGACTCGCAATCTGCAAACATAATCGCCCTTTCAGCCATGGGGGCATTACAATGTGATGGTCAATCCCATTATTTATTGGTAAAAGTGTAGCCCAAGAGTTGGCGGTGGGTGGTGATGACTAGCTGTCTGCCTTCACTTTAGTCTTACTACTAAATTATGGATGGCTAGCACAGAGAAACGTGATGAGTATGAAATACTATTTTTTAACGTAAATTTCTACAAGAGAAATATGTGGCGCTCTGCATAGAGATGAATATGATGATGATGATGTTTAATGGGAGTGTTTAGTTAAAAATGTAGTCATGATTCTTGATTTAGAGTATTACTTTTCTCCTAAAAGTGTCAAATGTACAAAGAAATAGCAGTTATAACTTTCAGGAACTCTTATACGAGATATTTTTTTTTTAATTTAAATTTAGTTTAAAATAGGAGAATATGATGGGGCCATAAACAACTGCGACTGATAATGTACTGTATTATTATGAAACATATTTGCACACTTATATACAGAGGGCTGAGTATGCTATATTAAAATGATTTTAAATATGCAAGTCAGCATTTCATGTGACAGTCACAGCCAATATAAAGTCATGGTAGAATGCCATGTATCAGAACATATTTTCACATTGTTTGTCATTAGTAGGTAGTGCGATGCTACTGAAAATTGATTATTTTTGGGAACAACATATAACAGCCCTTTCTCATGCAAGATATACTCTGAGGTCATACGTTTCTGGTTAGATCACTGTAAAAAAAAGGAATGTGGATCAACTTTGGAAACCAGGACTATCCAGAAAGAGACCTGCAACAAGTCATATCACAGCCATGGTAAGCATAATGTGCTGTCTTGTAGCCAGTGAGAATTCACAAACACATATTTCAGTGGAAAAAGCCATTTACTTGTCCAACACAATAGTGTACCACATAATCAAGAAGGGTTGCTGTCTGGAGAAGTGATATAAGTCATGTACACATTCTGCTTTCATGACCTATCTTTTCAACTATCACGTACCCCAAGCAGAAAGTGAAATAGGTATTCATGCTGTTTCATATAAAAATATACTGGACAAGTTGTTGGATACAGGAATTGAGAAACTGTCATTTTTGTACTCTAGATGAATTATGAAAAACATTGATTAAAGAATGGTGCTTTGAACGTAACAGCTGGACTGTTGTCAAGATATATATTAACCTCAGATGGAGCATGATTAGACATGTCAACAATCATTTAAATATAACATACTCAATCTCTGTATTTTGTAGTTAATATTGGACAACTATCATGAATTTGAAAGAAAGTATGATATTATCAAAGATATTAATATTTTAAGAGTGGATCATTAAAGTTTTAAAATCAAAGTAGTTTTTAATAATAGGATTATTTGACTGAGAATAGAAGGTAGTGCATGACTGCCCTTTTGGATATGAAAAATTGTTTGAGCTGTAGCTATTCATTTAAACATGAAATAATATTGTATTTTCTTGTTAAAAATAATGTATTATAATATACCTATTAAACTGCTTTTCATGTAGATATTCTTTAAGTGATGGCAAAAGAGAAAAGGGGCAATTAGTGAAGAATGAAATGAGTGAGGAAGAAACATCCATATGGAGAAAGCAAGCTTCTTCAGTCAGTGAACAGTAAGTAACTTGTTAGGTGATGCAAGAAAGCTGTAGATCAATGGGAGCTAGTTTTGTTGATGTTAGAATTCTGATTGAGATGTGTAGAAGTCAATGTTGATGCTGTTAGGATTTGTGGTTGAAATCTATAAACCAGTTTTGTTGATATCAAGATTTGTAAATGAGCTCTGTAAAACTAATTTTCATGGTGTTAAGATTTTTAGTTGAGGTCTGTAGAAGTTAATTTTGGTGGTGGTAATATTTGTAGTTGAAGTATGAATGGTAATTGATACTCTGGAGATATATTTGAGTGTTTTTTAGTGGTAAATAAGAATGAAAAACCTAAAAGATTTGTCTTCAAGATGGCTGTTTTCTGATTTAATACTTTCCCTTTATATTTTGTTTTGCTTTTTTTAGAATTTTATTAACATTAAGTTCATTTAGTGCCCAAATTAAAAAAATATTAATTTTCTTTTTACTCAGAAATATGTGTTTGGTCACTTAATTTATATTTTATCTTTAGATGATACAGTATTAGAATATTCAACCAGCAACATATGACCTCCAGTGTGTTTGTGAGAGATACCTTTATAAACATCTGAGATATAACCAATAGTGTAATTCAAAGAAACTTTTATTTCATAGGGCAGTGATTAAGATAATAGCATGCTACTCATTATGATTACTGTGAATTGCCTAAAAAAAAACATTCTATAATATTTTGTCAGTGTCTTAATCCTCTGTTAGTCACATGGAGTGTTTCTGAACCCCAAGTATGTTTGTTAACATCATCACTAAGAGATGGTAACACTGAGGCAGTTGTTGTTCATGGTACCTTCCCCAAATCCCTGATAGAGTGCAATCTCGTTCTTCTCATTTCTACCTTAGCCATGTTGAAAACAACATGTTTCTTTGGTGCACAAAAAAAAAAAACAGTACTAAATCAAGATGCATTTTTTGGAAAGCCTATATCTTTATTTCTTTGTTATTCTTGATTCAGTTAGTGTTTTTAAAATTAATTTATACTGAATATGAAGAAATTTTTGCCTCAATAATGTTTTTTTTTTTTTTTGAAATTTCAAGTTATTTATGTTTTGTTTTTTTCACATTAAGGATGGACAGTGACACTGAAAGTGAGAAGATTAGGCATATTTGTTGATGTTAATAAACTAATGATGCCTTTTGTTCAAAATAACTTAAGAAAATGTTTAGTTAAAAAACATATTTACTTTACTTTTGGAATGATGTTTTTTGTTTGTTAAATAAAATATGAAAAATTTTGTTGTTATAGTTTTCATTATTCCTCTATTAACACCACCCAAACTTTAAAAATTAAGCAAAATGCTATAAAATTGGTCATGAGACACTTGATTTACAAATATACTTAGATATATTTTAGTTATAATAATAAATATGATTTATTATCTCTCCATTTCTTTTCTGGGTAGGGTGTGACCCAACCCCATAGTACTAATGTAAGGTTAAGTAAATGTTTATTAAACTTTGAAATAACACGGGTCAACTTTTTTCATCGTCAGCATTCCAGTTGTATTATTATTTACATGTACATGTAGCTGTATTATCCATGAACCTTTGTGATTAGCATGGAAAGTTATTTTTAATTGGATGAAAAATTAATGCCTGTTGCCAAATACACCTAAAAAAGCATGTTGGGCATTTAAAAATTTAAAAGGATGTGCCCTGTTAACAAAAAATTTTATGATTGTCATTTCATATTAGATAAAACAACATTTTTGTTTCCAGCCAGTAAGAGGAATTACTCTGAACCTAAATCAAGATTGAATATTATTGTACCTCAAATTTATGATTTTGTGGCCCAAAACCATTACAAAGTAAGGTTTCTTTTGCTTATATTTTATATTAACTTGAAGATCACTTGGCTGATTTTTACTAAGTAGCCAAACAAACTGTGGTGTGACTAAAATCTGAATCCATGCTTGGCATAATACAGTTGATACATGTTCATTATTACTATTACCTACCTTGCACTATATAAAATGGTGCAGGTGCTTTTACTCTTTCAGCATTGGCTCCGTCCATGGGACCAACTTTGTAACCATTTCGTGCTTGTTACAGTTTTCATTTTATAACTTTTAAATTATTTAGCCTGTGTTAATGAAATTTGGCAGATTATCAGTAAACATTACAATGCTTCCATATGCAAAATATAAATTTTTTATTAAGTCTTAAGGTTTGTTAAGCAATGTTTTTCTCGTGCCTTTTTTTTTCTTTTTGCATGTTGGATAGACAACATGCAAAATAATTTTTATTTTAAGATTAAAAATACTTTTATGCATCAGAAATTTTTCAAATTTCACATGCAAAATCTTTACAGTGTCCGGATAGTTATCAAATGTTTGTTATGAAAAAAATTTAAATTTTATCTGTTATTTTTAGTAATGAATCTCTGTACGGGTTCAGTAGATTTGACTGATCTTGTAACCACCATAAAAAATTAGGAAATAAATATAAGTTATGCCTCTTTCATTCTAGAATGACAACAATTACAGCATGAATACATAAATATTTAGACAAAATAGCTTAAATCTCATAACATTATACATTTATATATATTTATTATTTTTATTATATTGACCTTTCAGCCGTGCCTGGCTAAATACAAAAGTTACAATGACGTGGAACGTGTGATCTCTTGTTACTGTATCCTAAAAAATAAAAATAAAACTTATCTTTAATCTTTACAAAGTGACCTGTCTTGGCTGTGTTTTAGTAGACTAGTATTTTGTAAAATACAGTCATTTCCAGTATTGTACATTATATATGTATATAGGTTATTACTATTTACAAATAGCTTCTTGAATTTATTTTTCTTAAAACATAGAACAGTAAATAAAGAAGAAAAGCAAAAAATTATCTTTTATACTTATGACCTTTGTACTCGGTTGCTGCTTGACATAGGTTGCTAAGCCATTTAAAATTTTGCACATGGAGGATATGAAACAAAATATTTTTTTATGTTTTATATATACAGCTAAATAACCAAAAATCGTAAATTACTAAATGGATACCATAGAATTTCACTATAATTTATCAGGCTTAGTAACTAAGCTGTATTTGGGTCTAAAAACATTTGTATGAATTAGGAAGTCAAATTACCAATATTGACAAGCTAGAATATCAAATAAGAGCTTCTTATTTTTTGCTAAGATATTGCTCATAATATATCAAACACAGTGGCATCCTGCCCACCTCTTTCCATTTTTGGAAACACTCATTTTATATATGGCATGAATAGCCAATTGAAAGCTCAGAATGTTTCCCTAGTGGCTTTCTCAGCCATTTTAACATATTTTGGACACCATCTTTTTCTTTCAAACCAAGATTTCAAGGAGGTAGGTTGTGTCTGTAGTCCCAAAATTCAATATTTCATGTGACTGTACTTCTTGTGAGCTTTTCATTAAATAGGTGGACATGTCTGCCTGAAACTTGATCCTGTCCAGTAAATTTTTGAGTCTTCTGGTCCTATTTTCAGACTCATTTCATTCTATCAATCTTTCACATATCTGTGTTATTGCAAATGTAACAATTTCATACACTTGAATGTGAAAATAAATTTTTTTAGTCTGATAAGTGTTCTAAGTTTATTGAAGTAGCCACTGTAGGCTTTGACAAAAAGAGACAGTTATTTAAAGCTCTGGATACAACTGTGGTGATTAACTGTGTAAAGAACATTTGTATACATGTTTGACTTGTTTTATATATTATTTTAAAACAAGTGGACTGTATGCTCTTTTTTATTGTTGAAATTTATTGCCAGCAAGTCACAGACACGTGCTGTAAAGAATCCTGCCCATCCATTTATAAAAACCTGACAAATTCTATATTAAAATATCTGGTTCTTTGTATGCAACAGTCTTTTAATTTGTACTAAAAAGCTTGTCAAGTTTTGTGAAGATATACGTAGTACATTCAGAGTTATAGTATGTATAGTTTGAAGGTTACCTGGTGTTTACAAGATTAGTCAAAATGGCCAAGCCCATATAAAGAGAATTAAAGCCTTTTGTTTGTGTTGATTTCACACCTCTATTTCTTATGGTCTTCTACTCTTTACTATTACTCTCTGTATAATTTTCTTACTATATTCATTTTGATACTTCTCTTATTAATTTTAATTTTTTTACTATTTAAGCTAATTATAAAGTTCACACTAAATTTTTCTCATTATGACTTATGTTTGTTATTTACCTTTTCCTCATGATGTATTTGTTTTAATTACTGTAATTTTATTTTGTTTTCTTCTCTATATTGTGGTTTTCTTTATTACAATTAATTGTTGTCTCATGCCACATTAGCATAACAATGATTTTTTTCAAATACCTTAATTTTTTCATAAATTCCTCACATTGTTCATCACAGTTAGTCTGTTTTTCATTTATATTTGTATACGTAGTTTTAAAATTCTTTATACTATAAAGAGGATAAATCAAAAAGTATATCACAGTGTTTTACCAATATTTGTTTCAGCAATTGAAATTGGGCCAATTATTGCATAGTTGGGCAACATTCAGAATCAGTTGACTTTGTCAGTATTGAACCTGTAGTTAATTTGAGATTGTATATGTCTTTAATGACAGTAAAAGCTATTAATACTTTACATAATCGGAATGGGGAGTTGTTGTTTCTCAGTGTATTTGTTCTTACTAAAGTTCAGAATTGATATAAAATGAAGTTCATAAGAAACAATATGCTGTGAAGATGTATTTTTACTGAAAAGTTGTTAAAAGACATCATTCCCTAGAAGAAAAGAAAAAACATGAAAAGAGACATTTATAACAAAGTTGGAAAAAAATTTGTGAAAATCTTTATCTAAGATTATTCATTAAATTGTCATTTTGTTGTTCACAATTGAGTGATCTCTTTTTTAACATCAAATCATTTATCATACACCATTACATATTTTTTTGTTTTAGATTTTTTGTAAGTAAAAAATATCTGTGTACTTTCTTGTCTTTCTTTCACAGTTATTTTGAACGTTTCGGAATATTAACCGGAAATGTGGAGATCCTTCTGCATGTTGCAAAGTTGACTGGAAGAAAGTGAGTTAGTTAAAATTTTAAAGGAATTACGTAAAGTATTTGTATGTATGTGTGTGTTAACATACAAAGAAAAATAGCATATTATAACATGCTCTCTGTATAACTTTGATATGATTGTATTTAGGTTTAATCATAAGGCCAAAAAGAGATTAATGTTTTCCATGTAGGACCAATAAAACAGGGTATGCACTGTAGGATAAGAACTAGGGACTTGTGTTTTTATCTGTAAAGATAGACTCCTAACATAAGTGGGGATGCATAGTGTCCCCACTAATGTGTTAGATAAACCTCTCTCATATCTTGACTTGCTGTTCTTAACATTTGTAGTTTTGAGTACTAAAAAAGTAAAGAATTTATTGCAATATTAATAAACAGAGCTCAGTCATTTTTGTATTAGTTTCCAAAAGTATTTAAATAATACTTTTAACTTGGTTGTACAGATTCAATGAGAAGTAAGTGTTGTATATTATATATTAATTTGTGGTTAATTTTTGTCTTGTTTTTCAGGCAAAAAAAGTTTTTTCTTAAAAACAGATTACACTTAACCATGGCTTGTGTGGTCTGTTCATTGAAAAAGCACATGGTTTTAAGTTATGCTTTTGATTTATAATTTTCAGCTTTAGAAACTTAAAAGTTTTTAAATAGTATTTTTTATAAAGATCTTTATATGACTGTGTTGTTGGATGTATTTCAGTAAAGGTGTTTTCAGAGACATAGTAAATTTTCTTTCTGAAGCATTAAGGTTTTTTCTTTTTATCTTTGGAAATTGTCATATAAAGAAGTTTGATATGTGGATGTTAGTGAGTTTTTCTTTACATCTGAGTTGAGTTTAAGGTAGTAACTACTTTGGAAAAGTAAATCTGTTTTTAAGCCATATGATACTTATATGAATCTTTGATTTTTCTTCACATTTCTCTAAATATTGATTAAATATTATCAACGATGCATTCTTCTATTCATCATAAACTTGTCAAATACTTGTTAGTCAAAATGTGTAACTTATGTTCCATGAGAGTTAAAAAAGGCTATATAGGATATTTTATCAAAGTGTACTAAAACCATAAATTACTGATAATATTTGGTTAAAATTAAGAGAATTACATAATTCAAAGCTAAAACAAGTAGGATTTAATGAAGCCTTTTCTGTATAACAAACTGACAAGAAATAAATAATGTAATAAATCAGTACCCAAGAAAACCTAAAATCTATAATGATTAGAATAGATTGATTCATCATTTGCATACCCTCACTGTTAACAATATTTTGGCCATTATGCCAATAATATTTTACAAGGTTTGGTCAGGAGATTGAAGATAGTCTTAACTCCAGATACTAAGCTAACGGTGCAAAATATTTTTCATAAGTGTAAAATTAATAATGGAAAAATAGAAATAAATGAATAAATAGTAACAATATTTAAAGTTGTTATAAACATTACGATTTATAATATTATTGAAGTTAACCAAAGAAGAATGGAGTGTATAAAAACAATTGTTTGCTTCAATGATCCACAAGCTTAGTGCACAAAACCTGAATACATGCATCTGTGTATTTGCAGTAATGCACACTCAACAGTGAAACCTGCTATATGCAAAAAATAACAAGACATCAATATGCAAAATTTTACTGATGTTCTATCACTGATTCTCTAGAAAAACATGACACCATACTGTAAATAATCATCCCAAACAATAAGTAATGAGTTACCAATGAAAACTGATTTCTGAATCCTGACTGTGCAACTCATTAGTGTGACAGCAAAGATAAGAGGCTTCTGACAAATTATTATTTTGCTACAGTAGGAAGATATAGAAAGTAAAGCAAAAAACTAATTATATGTATAAACATAAAATAACAAAATAGATAAATTAATAAAATGTTGATTCAGTAAATTGTAAAGGTAAATCATTAACTGTTATGAACTTAATTATATAGAAAAAAGAGAAGTTACATATCTTATTGTAGAAGCATATGTAAACAAGTACTTGATATTATATATAACTCAACTTAAAATTATATAGTAAAAAAAGTATGATGTTTTATCAAATTTACATGATTTGGTATTAGCAACTAAAATATGTTAACAATAACCTTTTCCTTTATAGTTATCTGTTTATGATTCATTACATAAATTCTTGAATTTAATTTGATACTAACTTTAAAAATCTGCATTTAGAATTAATGAAGTAAATACTTACTACATGTATGGAATAATATCTCCAAACTTAGCCATGGTATTTGCTGTAACTTGTATATCAATAATCTGTTATGGTAAAAAAAAGGCTTTAATTTCTATACATATATTTTTTGTTAATATTTAAGTGTGTAACATATTTTTCTTTATTACAGGTACATCTGTGAGTCCAGTGGTATGGTTACTTTGGAAAAACAATGGTCACCTGTTGCTAGTGCTTTCCCCCTTCAGTGTATTGTAAAGGTAATAAAGAAAAATATGTTACACACTTAAATATTAACAATGTCTAATGTTACATTATGAGCTCTTATTCAAATGTACCTTACTACTTATTGACAGAACAGTGGAAGAAATGTATTGTTTTCTTATTTATCAAAACATTACTGAAACTTGTTTGATTCCAAGAACTAAATCACTGTGATATTTTACTTTTTTTTTCAAGAAGTGCTTCTGTAAGATATTATTACTTTTTGTACACTATGGTAGGTTAGTTGGTAGATGTTGTGTTTTGTGAAATAGTTAGATGAAAATCTTGTGGTGAAATTCTTTCTTCAAATTTTTTTTAGAGTTATAGTTAACCAAACATCTCTGTATGGTTTTGGTGTTTGTTCAGAATTACTCAGGTAATAAAATAACATTCATAGATACTTCGGTTAATTGCTTGGGGAAAAATGTGTGGTTTGCTTTTCTAATGTAATGTATTGGTGTAAAGGTTTGTCAATCCTCAGTGAATAAGTATCCAGTTTAATTTTGTGCTGTTTATACTTATTTTCCTAAATATAAAAAATAATTTTTAATACTTGAAAGAACTTGGAAGTTCAGGCTCAGAACTTTAACCAGTTTACTTCAGTGGAAGAAATGTTTACCCCTGGTACTTTGTGCTTCATGCTAGGACATCCACATTATGGCTGCATGGGGGAGGTGAGAAATTCAACTATATTGTTACATTGTATATCATTGATCTTTTTCTATTTTGATCTTCTGTTGTTTCCATCCTAACATTTCATTATGAAATCAGTTACGTTTTAAATTGTACTGTGTTATTCTGGGTGAAAAATGTATATTAATCTTTCATTAATAATTTTAAAATTTGTAAGTATATTTGACTTAATCTTTTTTCTTGAAAATTGTCTATTACTACAAGTTCAAGTAACATTATTGCTATTCAAAGTTTTTTTGTTCAGGAACTTGTGTTACAAAAATATTAAAAAGTTTCATATTTGTTTCAACTTTTTTATTTGATTTATATTCACTTTTTAAGGATGTCAATTAAAGTGTAAATATCCTTTTAAGTTAATATTTAAAAAAGTTTGCAGTTTACTTGTACATGAAATTCAAAGATGATCAAGCTCATCAGGCAGAGTTTCATTTCCAACTCCATCTATTTTATTATGTGCATATACTCACAGACACATTGTAGGATTGTGAAATATGTCTTAAGTGCAATATAGTAACACAGAAGTGAGCTCTTGTCTTTAATAGTAATATCGTTGACACTCAGAAAATAACGCTGAATTGATCACTGACTATGTGTGCAGGTCATACTTTTTAGAGCTTTCATTTCCCACCAGTGTTAAAGGACATTGTTTCATGTTGCATATAATTGTTTACTTTGTCAGTTAAACATGCCTGTATTTTCATGCTCTTTATTTTTTTAGCTAATAAAACCTGTTTGATTTTCTTTTTCTATACAGGTGATTGAGACAAATCTTGTACGAGATAAAGGTCGTATACGTATAAAATTTTCAATCTCTCAAGAACCAGACTTGAAAAATGTGATAAGAAACAAAAAGGTATAAAGAGAAAAATGTATCTATAGCTTTGAAGCTGAAACTAGTCAATTTTATTTATGCATACAGTTCATAAAAATTATTATATGTATGGTGTTTTGAGTTGTCTTTTAATAATTCAGATAGTATTACATATGGATGGTTAATGCTGTTTTCAATACTTTTTTTTTAATATAAGGTCGCAGACTGTTCCAGAAATTAGACAGTAGCAGTGTTTAAAATTGTAAGAAATATAACTTGCTTAAAGCTGTGATATATTAAATTTAAGACAACTACTAAGGGGCTAGTTTGTGTGATACATTATTGAGATAGATATTTGATACATTATCTATGTAGTATTTAAATATTTTGATGGGAACTAGTTTCTTTGAGACAAAAGTAATTCTGTGTTGTAGATACAGCACTTAACTCTCACTGCCATGGATACATATATAGGGCACTATAATATTTTTGTTTTAACTTTGAACGATACATTATTAACCTAATATGAGATTGGAATTTCATACACCATAAAGAAAGGATATTTCTTTTCAAACTTCCTACAGTTTACCAGTTTCAGATATCAGATAACTAATAAATATAAAAACATATCTTTTGGATTTTTTTTTGTCTAAAAATAATGACATTTCGAGAGTTATTCACAAATGTGGCAGTGAAAGAGTTAAGACCATCTGTTCAAAACTAGATATTTGTATAATTCAAGTTTGGTAGTGCTATTGTAAATGATTTAGTGAAAAATGTTTAAAAAAAATCAAATGTTTGTGATATATGTAAAAACAAGGTCATTTTTGAATGTCTTGAAAATTGTATTTAATGTTTCTGTTTGTATTTCAGGTTAAAAAGTTTCCCATTTTTTGTCATTTTTGAAACAAATTAATCCTCTTTCCATGGGCATCCTTCAATGTGCATGTCATGAGGGTTGTTGATGAGTTACATTCAAAATTTAATTAAACTACTTTTTGTTCATGTTATACCAATTACTATGACATAAAATCTTAACTAATAATCCATATGTTAATTGTATGTATGTTTTAAATCTTAAATTTCCCCTAGTATGAGAAATGTGGCACTTTTTCTCTAGGCATTCCTTCTTCTCTAATTTATCCACCACCCCTCCAATAAGTACGAAATTTAACATAAATTACTCATTATAAAATTGTCATCACTCAGGCAAAGTATAAGTTTCATAACCTTCAATCTTGTTTGGTTACAGAGGCATCAAATAGAAAATCAGACCCGTTTTACCACACCCACATTCTTTCTTTTAGGATTTGTTAAGGTTATTTAACCAATAGAAAGCCAAGGTTTTCATCTATCAAATGACATATTATATTATGTTGTTTTCTGTACAGGGAATTGTCAATTTCTCTTTTAGTACAAGCTTCATTCTCATGGGAAACTAGCTT